GTAAAACACATCACTGTCACGGCACCCACAATTTAGCTGTCAAAGGAATGCTGATACGCAGTGAGAGAATACTGACTAACACTGCAAATCCAGTTGTTTCACTAACCCAGCAGTAAGTTAACAAAGACAAGTTACCAGCTTTCAGTTCTCCTCTGCTAATGCCACTCCAGAACCATTGTGGGGATGTACAAAGGTTTACTTTGCCCTTAACTCCCTCTATTGGAGCTTGTGGATATGGGGGCACTCCTAAATGGTGTTATTACATTAATAATAATAGTAATAATAATCCTTGCATTTGATATGGCGCCTTATCACGTCTCGGAGACGTCTCAAAGCGCTTCACAGAATATGATGTAAAGTGAATTGACTGTATATTTTGTGGGTGAAATTTTATGATATGAATATTCAGAAATTGACAATGTTTGAAAATTACAGTCAGTCAGTGAAGTGTTATTAAGCTGAAAGCGAGGGATGGCTCGTGGGGCCAGAGGTTTAAGGCTGTGTGACTGAGGATGGCTCCCGCTTGCTGAAAGCCATGGTGGAGCACCACCTGCTGGAGTACAGAAACATTCATCGTTTATCACACACAGAAGATTGCTAATTTTTAATAAAAATTGTAGAAAAAAAATACTTTACTGATCTCATTTAAATTAATTTTTTTTTCTCATATGTCATGGAGTTGACAGAGTCGCATTGCTCTGATTATTTGAAAATTCCTTTGACACAAATGTTTAAAACCGCAAGTATTTCTAACCCAAACACGTGACAATCACCTAGTTAGGTCTGTCTCCAGGGGAATATAGAGCGGCATTAAACTCAACATGACTAACCTCTTCCAATTCTTTTATCAGATTCACATTGAAGCAGTGTCTAAAGAAGTCCAATTACAGATATTAATCCCATAGGTTTTCATATCATTTTAATGGTTGTCATGATGTCCACCCAAGGCAATATTTTTTATAATTAATATATTGTGAAAAAGGACATTTCATGGTGAAATCATTTGACTATCCAACACAACATAGTTCTCATTTAAAATTAACACTTACATCTTCAGCAACTTTCAGTGGTATAGCGTCTTGGATTGGAGTGCAAACCTGAGCTGGATGTGAAATTGGGAGGGAGTGGTTATGATCTAACATTAATCATGAACATTAATCCTGAACTGAAAGGCTGAGTTTGAGTGTATCCACCCATTTCATTGCTAAAGCCCTAATGGGTAGGGTGGTAGTTATACTGCACAGATCTCTCGTTCTCCAGTTCTCTAACCAAACCTTAATATGTCATTTTTATTTTAATTGTTTAGGTAATGTCTGGTTATACACTCAACATAACATGATATCCACAGAATACAACATGTGGTATACACAGAATGTAACGTGTGATATATATAATATATAGAACGTATGATGAGGAACCACATCATAAAATCTAAACAAGACTCTATTTTTGTAGTTTAAAAGTAAAAAAAAGTCAAAACCGGGATTATCTGTCAAATTTTAAGAACCTAAATCAAAGCCAAAAACACCAAGACAAATGGGAGTTTAGGAAAAGAGGAACCAAAGTGTCCCAAGAATTCAGGATGCTAATAGCGAATGAAATATGACAAACTCCTCTGTAAAGTTGCTATTTAGATTGTCAAAGAGTCATTGACCACCAGTTTTAAACAGAGGCATGTGGGTCAGTTCATGCTGGTGTGTAGAAAACGTAGGCATTAAGTGAGATCATGACGTGCGAGAAAGAATGTGAGTGGGGAGCATTTATTTACCGCAGTGATTTATGACACATCATTGATGAACATGAATGAATACAATCAATGAACATCTATTGCGGTGGTTAAATATTCAGAGCATTTATGATATTTACAGTAGTTTTGCTTTAAATCCCTTCTTTTCTCTTTAGGTGATATGCCGGAGTTCTGTCACCAAGAGTTTACAATGAAATTTGATCAACTATTCAACTATGGTCGGGGGGGGGGGGGGGGAGGGGGGAATGTTGTTGGTGGGAGGGGAGAGTGGTCGAGGGGGGAGTGTGGTGGGGGGGGGAGGGAGTGTTGTTGGGGGTGTGAAGGAATGGAAAGTGGAAGACAGTAGCGCAGCTAAATCTAATCCTTTCCTCAAACGAGGTTCATACATAAATTATTTTCAAGCAATTAAAAGTGAGATTATGGATTAACTTTCCCCGCTGTTTAATCAGCATCACTGAGGCTAATTGCCGCCTGTGGCCCTGGATTAGATTGGCTAGTTTCGCGCAGGCTCAGGATCAAACCTGAGGCCTGTCTGTCACTGTGCAGAAACCACGTGGTACTTTTATGCACAGAGCCATTTGGGTGCCCTGAATTATCTTATTTTCTAGTTTATCAACTCCAGGTCAACACGTCCTAAGACCAAACATTGAATTCTAACTAACAAAACAATTTAATGTTCCTCTCGAGAACTTTTACTGGACCATATTAATTATTGATAATTTTAATACCATTAAAATTAACACCTGTTCGTATAACTTTACCTATGTGGGAAATTGTGTAATGTAGGGCGTAATCGAAAGCCCCACAAGAGAGCAACTCAGAGTGGAACATAGAACTGCTGTTCAATTCCCTGAACTGTTTTACTGCAAAAAGGAACAACTTGTTACTTCTAGCAGTATAAACTAGGCATTGTTTATGGGGTTGAATTATATATTGTTTGCTGTTGTAAACATAGTGGGAAATTCTAGTGGATCAATAATGTAAGGCTGCCATGAATTACAAGGGCTCGACCAAAAAAATTCCTGCTTCTACATGGACCCTTAACCTGAACCTGTTTGAATCATATATGTACATTCGGGTTTAATAACCTTTGCCTTGTTTAGATCTGATGTAAAATCTTGTTTTAGTTACTTGTCACCATGTGACCTTACACCTCATTCATTTCCACTGCAATATACTCTTCATAAAGCAATAAAAGCCAACTCTCCTCTTTTTCACTCAATGGATATACATCATTATTTACTGTTCACACTCACACACACAGATCTCCTTCATCTTGCAGGAATCTTTTACACTAATTGTTCTTTTTTTAATTTTTAATTTTGTTTTTCAGACAGATGTTTGAACAGACAAGTGAGCGGAGGTGAAAGTCATTCAGATTCAGGAGCTGTGGCTTATTCACCCTTGCAACCTCTCAGGAGATGGAAGGTAAAAAAACACGCTTGTGAGGATTAGTTCTAAAAGAACGATTTTGGGACAATTTGCAATAAGATTTTGATAGCTGCTGATGAGATCCCCTCACTCTCATCTTTTCTCTCGCCTCTCCTCTGTTCACCAGACATCAGTAATCTCTCCCGCTACCTCTCCCACTTGGGGAAGCTGGTGGAATCTGTCAAGTTTATGATCTTTCAGCCCCAGGCACTTTTGTGCACAAGCCAGCCTTGTGCCCTGACTACTGTGTAATGAGAAATTGGTTACCTATTAGCTTCATACAGACTGTAAATCCCTTCTGACAAATGTGTCTAATACAGCCAGTATGTCAACAAGATAATACAGTCCAGATCCACAGTAAAATTCCAAAGGATTCTGTTTGTTGTTGATGGTTTGCTTTGATGGCAAAGTCGGTTGGGTTTCTTTGAAGCTGTTCCAAATCTCCTTGAACTTGGCCTTTAGGAATAAGCCTCTCAAATTAAAGCTGTGTCCATACTCTGAGAGCTAGCATATCAGAGCACGGGAGAATGTTTTACCTGATTTTCTCTTTGAAATTCTGTTTTTTTATGGCTCTTGTCTTCAAGGCTACCTTTTGGACCCTGGCCATCTTTCTGTCCCTGCCTGTCGGCTCAATTGCTTCATCACCAGTAGGGAACTGGTCTCCAGGAAATAATCCACTATCCAGCGAGACACTCACCCGGGACAGACGAATTCTCCCGAGTCGGAATTCCACGGAGATCCAAGGATCCCTGGAGCGAGAGTCTGCAGGGAAGAGTGAATTGCCAACACAGTCTGCCTGGCATGCTGCCGATTGTAAGTATGAAGTATGACTCTTAAACTGTTATGGGGAGAAGTTGATGTTTCCAAACAATGAAGATACAGTAATCCTTTAAATGAAATTTTTTGAAAATTGCCCAAAATTTCCGCCCCTTTATGCAGACCGCACCTCCTCTTGTGCGGCTTGACATTTCCCAGCTGAGAGAATGGACAGACATTCTATTCACAGGCCAATGCAGACGCTGGCTGAATATTGCTCTTTTTACAGAAGCTCTTCCCTCTCCTTCGCTGAGAGTGGGAATTTACATGGTGGAAAATTAACCCATGTCCCACCATTTCCTTAACCATGGTGTTAGCACAGTTCTGGAGACATTGGCTGCTTGCCCTCTCAAACGCACACAAGGTGTGTAGACCGAGGGAGAACAATTCATTTACAAAGTAATAATAATAATCCTTGCATTTGATATAGCGCCTGATCACGTCTTCGAGACGTCTCAAAGCACTTCACAGAATATACTGTAAAGTGGTACTTGACTGTATATTTTGTGGGTGAAACATGGCAGCCAATTGCCCACAGCAGCTAGTTAAAAAGAGGAGGAAAAAGCATAATTGCAAAGTTAGCACAGGCAGCTGAATTACTATCTTCTGTGAAATTAACATTTTACTTGCAGCAAGACCTTTTGAATAATTATTTCAAAGTGTTCTGTTCAGAACTGTTCACAAAATTACTGTAATTCATTTAAATGAATGCAAACTGCAGATCTGAGTGTTTTGTGAGAATTAGTGTCATCTTTTATTTAGGTGCTAGTGAGGAAATATTGTAAGCGCTGCATTACACTCACTAAACTGGCTGATGATGTGCGTCGCTAGGAGGGTGCGTACTGCAGTTTGAAATGCTAAGGGGGTGTTATTCTGTGCTGTGATTTATATACTCTAATCTGATGCTGTGCATTCTCCAGATGCAAATGCGACTTCTCACAACCTTGGAGAACTTGCAGACGATCTCCTGAACCGGTCTGAACGATCTCCAAGACTTTCACGGCAGGGAAACCACGGCAAGACCAAATCCTCAAGGTCACGTGGCAAAAAGAAACGCAGAAAATCTAGCCAAGACAATGAAGGCTGCCGCATCAGGAAGCGGAACATTAAAGTTGGAGCCCTGGGGCTGGGGTACATGTCAGAGGAGATAGTACTGTTTAAATATTGCAGTGGATCTTGCCAACTCTCCCGGACAAACTATGACCTGACGTTAACCGAACTCCTCAAACAGAGAGTGATCCCCTCCTTTCCTAATGAGAAGGTGATCAGCCACCCGTGTTGCAGACCGGTCAGGTATGAGGATGTGACCTTCCTGGATCTGCAGAATAAGTGGCAGAGAGTCGAACATCTCTCTGCAGCTGAATGCAAATGTATAGGTTGATGGGCGATATATCAGGGACCATGGATTTGCTTTGAATTTAACAGGACACTGTACCAGGCTAGGTACCAAGGCTGCACAACACTCTTCTGGATGTAATGAGATGGAGCCTGACTTTGCTAACGAGGAGGAGGGGGGGAGGGCGGAGTCTGTGCTTCATATATTGAGACAAAGAGGAGGAACTGAATTGACTCAGTTGAACAGTGGATTGAACTTTGACCGAGCCTGTGCCTCCGCTCTTACAAAGGTTTTGAATAAATCAGCAGGAACCTGATACTGGTGATCATGCCCATTCTAAAAGTAAAGTTGGGACTTTCAACTATTCCGGAGTAAATGGCATCCCAGAGGTGAAGTCCCTGCCAAGACACTGTGGAAATGACAGCAACATGCCTGGATTTTTGAGTAGAATATACCATGTTTTTAGAAAGGTTGAACGTCAGGAATTATCCTGAATAATGTGTTGTCCCCAGAGGATTTTTTTGCTGAAAGAACCAAGCAGAGCTCGTCACAACAAAAAGCATTGATTTCTTTGTTTAATAAATATGTAGAGCTTTCCAAATGGAATATAGTCAGACTAAAGATGCATGGAGGTTGTGTAGAAATTCTTCAAAGGAAATACATGAGATTATCCTATAGAAAAGTATAATATTTTTGTAAGGAATGTGTTCTAGTCAAAGGAAAAGCATTTAGTTCTCTAACATGGATTCATGGATTACGCTAAAGAATGAAGAAGGGGAGGGAGACACAATCCTATCCTGAAAGAATGAGTTGACTTCAGCTTAATAAGTGTGTAGAGTTATCCTTATGGAATGCATTAAGTGTCAAAGATGGAAAATGCAGAATTATCTATGACTGCATTGAACTCTCAAAGTGACAACTGTGGAACCATCCTTCGCAGAAATCCACAGAGCTCCTGATAGCTCTCACTGAGGAAATGCGCACAATAATTACAAAATAACAGGAGTTCTCAGAAAGAAATATCTGGTATTATTTTACAGAAACTGAATATTCTCGAACCCGTGTTTCGCGAGCCTGTGGGCTGGTTCCAGCACCTTTTGTGCTCACCCAAAGCCAGTAATGTTCCTTTAACATGACAGGAAGTGTGTGTGTGTGTGTGTGGTTGAATGCGTGTGCGTTGCGTGAGTGTGTGTGTGCTTGTGTATGTATGCAAGCTGGAAACTACTAATTATGTGTACAAATTCACCAAAGCACTTCTGGTTATTGAAAGGTTCCAATTTCTAAGATGCCCCTACCTTCTTGGGATAAAAGTTACTGTTTGAGACGGATGCTGTTTATTCCCCTAAAGTATTCCAAAGATCTCATTGTGCAGATGTGAAACTGGGTGTGTCACCACTAGCAGTAAAAATATGGTTCACTCAGGCACAAGCTACAGAGGGCTCAATGGGAGGGACAGAGATTACACTGAAATCGCTGGGCCCTGTGAAGTTCATAGTGCAGTTCATTCATCAGTCCAACATTATGCTACCCGTATAATTGCTTTTCAATTCGATGCTACGATCTGTTTTGTCAGTCGAGTGGCAAATTTCTAGCTCCAGTAAAATATATTACAAATGTATGCAATGTACATAGCAGCAAAGAGGGGTCAATTGGTATCAGAAATTACTGAATAGCCCAAGAAAACACTAGCATTGGTTATGGCCAGGGTTTATTTTCCCCTTTTGATGTAATTATTGCGTCTACAATGCTGGTATTCCTGCAGTTTTCAAATCAAGAAGAGCAGACTGACTACCTCTGCATCTGATTGAAACAGATGGAAAAATGTAGACTTTTATTGTTCTGTTACATTGCAGCAATCACAGAAGGACTTGAATTAGCAACTTGTTCTCATTCCCCCAAACACTGCGGTGTAATCATGTTCACGTGATTGTCCTTCTGCAAATAATAATTACTGTATTTTGCGACATGGCAAATCGTTAGTTACTGCTAAGTCAAATTTGGAGAAAGGGTTCATATTCTTCAGGCAAGATTTGACATCCAGTTTAAGAATGGCTAGTGCTGACTGTCTGCCTGTCCTCTGAAGTCTGGGAAAGGTTTCAAGAGTAGTTTATGTGCAGCAGACTCTTAACGTACCACCCTAGTTCACTTCCTTGCTTCGCTCACCACCCACCACCTTTGGTAACGAAATGGGGGATCAATAGGTACTGGACAGCCAACGTTTGTTACTGCTACTATATTAAGCTGCAAAGTTACTTTGCCATTCTCAGTGCCTATTACTGATCATTAACCTACAGTATTCTAATTTCAGATCATTGCGTGGACTTATTCCGATCAAAGGTCCTTCCCCTGACCTGTTCTTAAAACACACCCTTTTGACCTAGTGTGTTCCGAGTTTACACCAATTATCCGGCCCAATTATCCGGCCCACTCGGGCCCTTTCTCTGTCCCTCTGAAAGCACTGGAAGCTCAGCAGTCTTGGGTAGATGGGAAGCTAAAGGGGATGAACTTTTGACTCATAACCGGTAGGTGGCGGGTATGAGTACAAAACAGGACTCATTGTTGACTCACTTCATGCCCTGCCTGATCTGACCTCCTCCTACGCCTATCTGATAGAGCGTGTCTCTCTGCCTTTTTGTCCTGCTCTCTGATCTCAATTTTCCCCTCACCTAAAGCGTATGCTCACTCATACGCATTGTATTTCCATTCAAGGTCATGTTTGATTCATCTCTCTTTCTCTTGCAATGTGCCAGCAGGCTTCAACATGACCCTTGAAACTAGTGGTTAGTGTAATTGTTCTGACCTTACTATTTGTGCACATTAAAAAAATGACAGCACTACAGGGAGTGATCAGTCAGTTTATGTTGTACAGTATACACTGTCCCTTGTGAATTGCTGCTCTTACTGGCTCTTTTTATTCCACGAGCAAATCTGGTTTGAGAGGCCGGTTTTCCTTTACAGATGAAATTCAATTGCTTTTAAAACTTTAAGTCATTGTCTGGTGAATTTTTCCATTTTTGTCCCCAGTGGCATATCCTCCCATTCTGGTCCCCAGCCGCCTAATGCAGGAATGAGATCCCATGCTTACTGGTTGCTCTCTGCTACCCCACGCAAGTGACCATTATAGTCATGAGCAAGGCTTGGCAGGCCATCTGAATAGAGAGAGCGCGACCTAATTCATCCTCACCAGCTGCCACACATGTGCACAACCAGCAGAAGTCAGTAAAGAGGGTCGATGAACCCAACTGGCATCCCCTCTGAGTGTAGTAACCTCAGCATGTGCGGGCTTTTGAATCAGCAAGCTCTCAGCCCAGAAGTCCAGCTCTTTTTTTTTCCTAAACCTTCGATGCCCTTGATTTTTTTTTTAAGAAAGTCGCCCTTTAATTCTCCGAGGTAGGGACAGAATAACCCTCCTAATTCCTATGATTTAAGGCGCAGCAACACTATCCAAATGTTTCTCGTGTTTTGCGATTGACTGGTTCAAATTGCAAGGCCTTGTCATTTCACTGGCTTTGGCTGACAAAGATTTACAAAGAAACAGGCCACTTGTCAGTGAGTGTTTATACACCACACAAGTCTCCACCCATTCCTTTATTTCCTCCCATACCCTTCTATTTCCCTCTCCCTCATGCAAAGGTCTAGCTTCCACTTGAATGCTTCTACACTATCTATTCAACCACCGCTTCAGGCAGCAAGTACCACAGTCTCACTCGCCTCTGAATAAAGTAGTTCCTCCTAAATTGTCCTAAATCATATTTATGTCCTCTGGTTGGAAACGGTCTATTTATGTTAACTGTACTGAACCCTTTTTATAATTTTAAACACAGTTGTTCGAGGAAATTTTGTTAGTAACAGATAAATGTGACTGACAATTGTCTGCGACTGTGAATTGGGATATATTCTAATGCTTTGCTGTATTTGCAACGCTTGTTCAATTGGAACTACTGTACTGGCAATTACAATCCTTGACTTCACTGCCAACTGATATCTTACACCTCATAAATGTACGTAGACTTTTGCACCTACATTATCTAACGGCCTTACATGTTTACACTTAAGATCCCTATTCTTATTTTTGACATGTAAAGTCAATGAGCTTTGGACTGTAATAGAAGAATATTTTGGCTCTCAGATCAGGCTACTCAGACTTCATCTCAAGTTTTTAAGTGGTTTCATTTTTCTGAAGGGACTATAGTACCCAAATCCTTCATAACCGTTCAAGTGATATTTCCCATTCATTTTGACAATAAATCAAACCAAAGTTGGTTTAAAGAGGAGAAAGTAAATTTAACCTTTGCCTTGATGGAAATGCAAAATATGTCTCAATTAAGCAAAGTTCTGAAGTAGATCCGAATATACTACATATGTTCAGTGTTGTGAATATTTTATAGTATTCTGGAACACAATATTGAGCATTATGTCTTTACAGAGTTCTTATTGAGAAAATATGTAATGCAACAGGCCTTTTAGAAACTTCATTCATAAATCCTGTCAGTCCAATTGCAGTTAGTGAACTTTGCGTATTTGACTGGAAACCTACTCAACCACATTCGAAACTGCTGAAAAAAAACAGAGTGGGGGGAGGGGAGTATATCAAGGTAAAAATGGATACCGTTTCTTTAACAACAGAACGTATAATGTTATGATTTGCAATTGGCCCTAGTGAAAAGGCAGCTTGGTCAATACCTTCAGTTTACACAGAACATGATATTGATGGGGAAAGTGCTGATCTCAAAACAGGCCTTCTATTTGGTTGAAGTTAGTTTTGATCGTCATGAAGGCAAAATCTGCAAAACACTGATCTAATTTAACACGCAGTATAATTTTTAGTCAATATGATCTGACATTTACCAAACAGAATGGTCTGTTCGATAAATTTGACTTTGTGTTTCAGGGCTCTCTTTTCCCTTTTCCTTTCACCCTGTGGTAGACAAGAGATCTGCTTCCAGCCCTCGACTAGTTGTGCTTTGTAACTGACACAAGACAGCAGGCTGGGTGACTGTTCTTCTCATTTTCTGTCCTTTCCTATGGGGAAACACCTGTTGTCTGCCTGACACCTCACCTCTGACACCCCTGAGTTCACAAACTCACTATGTGGGGAAACCACTGAGGGTAAAATAACTAGTCTTTGCCCCAGCACACTACAAGTGCCTCTTAAGAAGCTTTCTCTCCGCAGACAATAAGTGGAATATTGTACCACTGACGCAGCACGAGAGACATGCACAACACGCGAGAAAACGATG